CTCCCTTCTGTGTGTGTGGGTCTCACACACAGGCGCGTGTGTGTGTGTGTGGGGGGGGGGGTCTCACACACAGGCGCGCGTGTGTGTGTGGGGGGGTCTCAAACACAGGCGCGCGTGTGTGTGTGTGGGGGTCTCTAACACAGGCGCGCGTGTGTGTGTGGGGGGGGTCTCTAACACAGGCGCGCACGCGCACACCCGCAGCACGGGCGCGAACTTCCCCGGTTTGTTTTCGTGGTGGGAGACGTGCACAAGGAGGGACCCGCGGCAACCACGCGAATGCGATGACCTTTACCCGCGGCTCACAGCGAGGTCACGCGCAAAGCGAGTCGAGACGGGCAAGTGCTCGTCACTCCTTTACAGGTGGGCCTCTGCCAAGCTTGTGGCACTAATGGGTGGGTCATGTTCAGGGCCGGATTAAGATTTTTTTTCGGCCCCTGGGCTGCAGGTACTGTGAGGCCCCCAGTAATATTTTCAAAAGGAAAACAAAGTTAAAGAAAAATCAAAAGAATTTTTACAAAGCCTACAACCAATACAATTCAGCATTCACAAATGAAATAACTTTTCTCTTAAACCTCTGGAGGGCCTCCAGCTGGTGGAGGCCCCTGGGCTGCAGCCCCTAAAGCCCCGTGCCTTCATCCGGCCCTGGTCATGTTGCTGCTGCTGCTGTTGTTGTGATCCCGCGGCCCGAGTTCAAATCCCGCTCGTTCGTGGCCAACATCAGCGACGATGATTTGAACCGGTTCTGGGCCTCACCTAGGTAGCCTCAAACGAGTACCTGGTGCGGTCTGTAAACATCGCCGCGAGGAAGACAAAGGCGGCCGGGAGTGAAATTTGCCACCCACCTTCCCGTTCGTATGTCGTGACAGCCTTCACAGGTGCTGCTCGCTAACGGCACTTGCCCCAGCAGCCCGTCAAGGCAAATCGGGGGGAGATGTTTCTATTTGATCCCAATTGAGTAATTCGTTGCTTATTTTTGCAGAAACAAAATTCCCAGCATTGAGAATGTTATACCAGTACCGGTGACGTTGCGTTGTTTTAGCCGTGGCAGGAAAACCGGACAACCCGGAGTAAACCCATTGCTACTCGGTGTCTGCAATGTTACGATTGATTTGCTGCACGTAACTTCCTTTTTTTTTCGCTTGCACCCAGCTCCTCCGGCGGGCCATTCTTGTCGAGCAGCTTCCGGCTGATTAATGCGTGTCACCCGCGTCAATAACAGACCGTCAATCAGTCAAGCCGGAGGCGGCGGCGGTGGGGGATACATAAACTCCGCAGAGAAAGGCGCCCTCGTCGGAACTCGAACCCAGCCGCTTCTTGCCGTGAGGCTTGCGGTGTCACCACTGCGCCGCCACCACCACCGTCGCCCGTTCATTGGCTTCAACACACGACCATGTGGCTCCGCAGTGCAGCGAGCGGTTCGCATTCTGAGTTCACATCCTGGTTGGGGTGTGGTGTTAGTGGGGGGGTTGATTCAGCCCATCGTCCCTCCGGGGTATATAAAATGAATAGGGTCGACCGTAGTTGTCCTATATACTCACCCCCGTCATAGGAACGTGACGTTTCCTCCACTGGCTCAAGGCTGGACACACGAGATGAGCAGACTCAACAATACTCGTTTGAGCAGGAAGTTACTCCGACTTGCGCACGTACAGACACTCGTATCAACAAAATGTTGTCACCTCCTTATCACTAAATTGACTTAAACTTTCGTGACTGCAGGAATTCATATTCTGTGGTTCTTTCGGTAAAGTCACGTAGATGGAAAATAATAAAATGAAAATAAAGTGAATACAAATAATACAAATATCACGACGTTTCGATCGCAACACAAGCGGTCGTCAAAACAGGATGACGACCGCTTGTGTTGCGATCGAAACGTCGTGATATTTTATTTACTTTATTTTAATTATTTCTATCTACGTGACTTTACCGAAAGAACCATAGAATACTCATTATCACTCTTTTATCGATTGTACCATGGTTACCGTAACTTCACTTATTGATTCCTCCACTCATCTTGCGGATGAGTGGAGGAATCCATCACGCGGTGTTCAACCATCACTCACCACACTGCAGGTCACCACTCACACACCCATTCACTCACCCACTCACCACACTGCAGGTCACAACCGACTCACCACACTGCAGGTCACAACTCACACACCCATTCACTCACCACTCACCACACTGCAGGTCACAACTCACACGCCCACTCACCACACTGCAGGTCACAACTCACACGCCCATTCACTCACCACTCACCACACTGCAGGTCACCACTCACACACCCATTCACTCACCCACTCACCACACTGCAGGTCACAACTCACACACTCATTCACTCACCACTCACCACACTGCAGGTCACAACTCACACGCCCATTCACTCACCCACTTACCACACTGCAGGTCACAACTCACACACCCATTCACTCACCACTCACCACACTGCAGGTCACAACTCACACACCCATTCACTCACCCACTCACCACACTGCAGGTCACAACTCACACACCCATTCACTCACCACACTGCAGGTCAAAACTCACATGCCCATTCACTCACCACTCACCACACTGCAGGTCACAACTCACACGCCCATTCACTCACCCACTCACCACACTGCAGGTCACAACTAACACACCCATTCACTCAGCACTCACCACATTGCAGGTCACAACACGCCCATTCACTCACCACACTGCAGGTCACAACTCACACACCCATTCACTTACCACACTGCAGGTCACAACTCACCCACTCACTCACCACACTGCAGGTCACAACTCACCCACTCACTCACCACACTGCAGGTCACAACTCACACTCCCATTCACTCACCACACTGCAGGTCACAACTCACACACCCATTCACTCACCCACTCACCACACTGCAGGTCACAACACTTCTCATTCACGGAATTCCCTCCCATCGTCGTCTCTTTTCCCCCAGGCTATTACCAAAATAACTTCGCTCAATTCAAGAAGCCTGTTAACTAAAAAAATATGAATAGATTTTACCCTTTCTCACAATAAAACAGCTGTGTTAAGATGTTCAAACACCAAATATAAACCTTTTGCAAGGAATGTCTCCATTAACCACACGTACGTGACATTAACACCACGTATACCTTTTACAACTTTAAAGTACCGTTTGTTGATGGTCGCTCGACGTTTTTGGGCTTGCTCAGCAACTGTGATTAAAATCAAGACAGACGATGTGACGAGATGGTTTTTTAAGTGTGCGTCCATTTGTTACTCCTCCGGCAGGCAAGGTTGCGATGGCTGGGCCATGTAGCCCGCATGACCCAGCCATCGCATGCCTAAACACCTTTTGTTCAGACAGAGGGGGCTAAACGGGCACGGCACGGGCTAGAGAAGAGATGGAGTGATGTGGTACAAGAAGATGTGGAGCTGAGTGGACTTGCCGATGACTGGTACCAGCGGTGTCAAGATCGGGCTCTGTGGAGGAGGCTCGTGAAGGACGCTGCTACTGGGCAGTTGGAGGTAGTCACCCTCCAACAAAAACGGAGGGCAGAGGAGCGCCGGGCAGCTAAAACACAGCAAGTTGGCACAGTAGGAGGCATAGATAGTGCATCGGCCAGTCATCTCAGTCGACCCGTGGCACCTGGGTCTGCCCCGTGACCTCCTGCTAGCAGGCGTTCGACACTTCACGTGGCCTCAAGGTGCACATAGCCTGGCACAAGCGTGGTGACGTCACTGCCACTTAGTGGCGAAAGGCGGCTGGTGTTGTTATCGAGAGTCCTCGAGAGCTCGGTGGAAATCTCACCAACATTCACCTCCCATAGTCTTGAATGTAAGAGCTCTCCTAATCTAAGTAAACTGTGCCTTGTCCAAACAAAGTTCTACTAATCGGGTCTCTCACACAAAAGATCCACCGTATATCCTTTAACAGACCGTGTTGGTTACTTCATTTGAAACCGAGTGGACCGAGGGGAGGCCCAAAACCGGTTCAGATAATCGTCACTGTTACTGGCTGTGAGTGGGAATCGGACTCCAGTCCGCCGGGTTCGTAGCGCAGTGTGCTAACCTCTGCGCTACCGACCGGATTATAAGACCCACCCCCATTTTTTCATTTCAAGATGGGGGGGACCTGCGTATTTTCATCCAGAGAATACGGTAGCTGTCGGCTTTTGGCTGTGGTGGGGGGAGGTTTGAAGGGGACTAGAGTCCACGTTTGTATCGGGCCCATCGATCTCCCAAACAAACGGAATTCAAAACACGTGAACTATAAACCCAGAGCGGTGGCGCAGTGGTTAGCGCACTGTTATTTATTTACTCCGCTTGTTCACAAGGTGCTGCGGCGTTGGGAGAGTACTGCCACATTCTCAGTAGGGAGACAATGGTTGCTGTGTGTGCAATCGCAATTGAGTAATTTTGCGGTGTACATTTTTCAACACTCGGTTTGGGAATTTTTTTTTACCGTGACACTGGCACACAACGGTCTGCTCTTGCGAATGACGTCAGGGGATCTTTAACGTCCACCCTTGAAGCAGACGTCACCGAGCAATTATGGTCAGTACACACCACAGTATTAATCAGCGCAGCCACTGGTATCGAACCACAACCATCTGGAGTGAGCGCGTTCTACGAACCCGGACGAGGTGTGCACGATTCCCAGGCACGGTCAACATCACTGGCGGTGAGTGATGTCAGCACCGGCCCTGTGGCACTCCCCTTCCTTCACCAACCCACACTTATAAATCGTCTGAGACTTCCTGCTCAAATGAGCAGAGGCATCGGTGCACTCATCTCCTCAGAGGACAATCACTATCGACTTCCTCCCAAAGTGGTCCTTATATTGACCCTGGAGATCATGGGCTGTAGTTGACTCCCCCCCATCCACCCCCCAACCAGGATTTGAACTCGCAACCTTCCATTGCAAGCCACTCGCTGCACAGCCGAGCTACCCGGCCGTGCCTGCAGCGAACCGGTCCATCCTCCCACAAGCCAGCACCGATACTCACGCGACGCGCCCTTCTTCACTCGCTCTTTATTTTGTCTCTGTTCACATCAGGTACAGACGGCGGTTTAACGCGAGAAACACCGATACAATAAACCCAGCATCATCATGAGCCATGGTCACTCCCAATTGCTGGATGGATGCCTCCCAAAGCCACCGCCATCTCGCAATCCTGTGATGTGCCCGACCCTATTCCCACCGGGGATTAATTTCTCACCAATTAGTAGTAGCCACAACCATAGCGAGAGGTGTACTGGACGTGGATGAAATTATGCTCTGCCCAAACCCTATACCAATCCCCAACATCAAGCAATCCGCTCTTTCGTTCACTCGCATGCTCACGTCGCGCAGAAATCCATCACCCACCCACCATCATGCACCACGAACAGCCAAAACCGGTAATAGACTCCGATTGGCTGCTGCGATATTTTTCACTGCGGTGCCACACGTGTGCACGTCGGGCATTGGCGTACGCACGCGCACACGCACGCACGCACACACGCACGCACGCACACACGCGAGTCACACAGCACCGCCACTCGCATCCACAGGCTCCTTCATGGTTCGGCTAAATAAAACCACGCTCACTTCACTGGTCGTGTATTTGTGAACCAAACAAGAGATAGTGATGGATGAGGTCACAGTCATTTTAGCGGTGGGCGAAGGGAGATGCGATGGAGGAGATCAAATTGAGGGAGTACAGAGAGGAGATGGAGACGGCAGATAGACACACGTGGGGAGTAGACACTGCACAGAGACAAGGGGAGCATAGTGCGGAGACATGGAAACAGAGATTCACGAGAGGGGAACCTGGGACAGCAGACACGTGGCACAAGAGGGACATGGAGTCACCGATATGAGATCGGACGGTTGATGGAGCATTGTGGTGACTCCAGCAACACGGGACACACACAGGGAGGTGGGACAGAGCCCGCCCGTGTTCATCACATTAATTGCTCATCACACAAATCTCGCTCACCACCCCACCCCCCTCCCCCATATAACCCACACAGGCTGTCTGGGGAAAGTTAGCGAGTAGCACCCATGAAGGCCAACACGACACGCAGGGTGCTGGTGTGGCCAGAACCACGCTCGGCACCTCTGTCTCCCCGGTGGTGATATTTACACACCACACGAGGTAGTCATTTAAAGCAGTCCACCCTTATGGAGGCGCAGGACCGGTTCAAATAATCGTCACTGATATTGGCTTGCGAGTGGGAATCGAACTTGAGTGGCCGGGTTCGTAGCGCAGTGCGACACTCACTGCACACAAAAGACTCCGGCGCGCGCATGCAAACACGCATGAGGCAGCCGAGGGCCGCACTGCCTGCCAGAGGGGGCGTTAACTTGCGGTGCCTCCACATCATCACACCACCAAAATAAATATGGTACAACTCTTCTGACATAGAGGGGATAGTGGGGGGGGGGGGGTTGTGGGATGGACCCGCTTCCCTAAGTTTCATCTGCACTGGCCGGCCTCAGGTCAGAGGTTAAACGGCCAAAGCGTCATGGAGGGCATTTTCGACGCCCCTCAAGGTCGCAGGTCAGGGGTGAGAGGTCGAGGTGACCCAGCTGTCGCCCGATGCCCGGGCTCCTCTGCTCCATTACCTCCCCAATCCTTCTCCCTATCCCCTCCCCTCTTACCACGCGGCACCATCCAACTAGGGGGCGCTTATCACGCAGCAAGAGGGAATGGGGAGCTGTGGTGCAAAACACCCACTGCTCTGAGAAATACAGCTGCTGCCAATAGGCACAAACTATCCCAACTCTATCCTGTACCCCAATTCTAACCTTATACTCAAAACTATCCCAACTCTATCCTGTACTCCAACTATAAACTTACACAACACTATCCCTAACTCTATCCTGAACCTCAACTCTAATCCCAACCCTCATGATCTCCTTCCTTCCATACATTTGTGTGGAACCCGTTATTGCTTTTGCCCCAATATCTATTTCCTTCGTCGTTGTATTCCATTTTTCGCTATTGCTTTCATTTACTTTGGTTACCCAGGTCACTCTTGCGAATAAGATTCCTATCCTGGTCTCTTGAGTTCTCACCTGGTTAAACTAAATAAACTTATCTGCAGCAACGTTTTACAGAGCAGTGGTGCATTTCACTACAGTGCCGGGAAATGGAATCGGATCGGATCGCAAAGCAGAGGCCACAATGTGGCTTGCACGACGAATAGAAATCCACGGAAGCTAATTTTTCATGAAAGGAAACGCCGCCGAGGTTGTGACTATGCACAGGCACACGGCAACGGCTGCAGAGCTCGTAAATTACTTAACAAGCTCTCGTGCTTCCGTGGATTTCTTTCGGCGTGGCCTTGCGGTGGTGGAGCAGGGGCCCGGGCAGCAGTAACGACAGCCGGGCTTAACCTCAGCAGCCGGTCTGCTTAATGTCGGCCCCCGAGCGCTTGGTCACCGCGAGCATGGTGAAGATCTGTACACGCAGACACAGAGAGGACACATGCAGAACATACATGGACACACACACACAGAGGGGGACACACACAGGAGGCACATACAAAGATCCCACCGTAGTCTCTAACAGATTGTAGGGGCAAGTTCTGTTAGTGAGCACTCATTAAGGCCGGCATGGCACACGAGGTGGTGGGTGGCCAGGACCACGCCCGGCCGCCTTGTGGCGATGTTTACACACTGCACCAGGTACTCATTTGAGACAGAGTTGACCTAGGGGAGGCCCAGGACCGGTTCAAATAATCATCACCGACTGGTGTTGGCCGTGAGCGGGAATTGAACTTGGGCGACAGGGTTTGTAGGGCAGTGAGCTAACCGCTACATTGCTGCTCCCCACAAATGCACATGGATCACAGGGTAAAAGACAAAGACCCCCCCCCCCCCCCCCCCCGTATAGCCTTAACAGACTGTTGGGGAAAACACTGTTAGTGGGCACCTATGAAGGTTGGCACGGCACACGAGAGGGTGGGTGGTCAAGACCATGCCCGGCTGCCTTTCTTCTCCAGAGTAGCAATGTTTACACATCGCACTAAGTACTCATTTGAGGATGAATCGATCTCGGGGAGGCCCAGGACCGTCACTGGTGCTGGTCGTGAGGGATACATACCCACGCACAGGGACATACTAACACACACCAGGGACATGCTACAATGTATTATGACATGGTGCAGCATGCGGTATTGTTGTGATGTGTTATGGTGCGGTGTGCTGTGCTGCGGTGCGTTGCGGTGTGTGCCCGGCCAACCTCAGCGCAGGTCGGGTGGATGCCGATGGTGTCGTCCAGCTGGGCCTTTGTGAGGCCGCACTTCATGGCAACACCGAAGCCCTGGGTTATCTCACCGGCGTTGGGGCCGAGCACGTGGAACCCCACCACTCGATCCTGCCGAGCCACACCACAAGCAAACCACCAATATGGTTGTCCACACCACCAACATTTTCAACCACAGCATCAACATGTCAACCACACCATAGGGAAACCACCAATACTGGCAGCCACACCACCAGCCACACCAGAGGTATACCACCAATACTATCAGCCACACCACCAACAATAATTAGCCACATCACAGACAAACCACCAACATGGTCAACCACACCACCAACATGCACAACCACACCACCAACATGTACAACGAAAACCATAGGCAAATCACCAATACCACCAGCCACACCTGCAGGCACAACACAGACAAGTCTAGGCACACCACGGTCACACAATGTGTGGGCACACGTGCCTTGTCAGCCTTGTTACAGAGGATCTTGGCGTAGCAGCTGTTGTTATCACCACCGGCCACAGTCCACTCCAGCGGCCAGAAGTTGCTGTGAAAGACCTATGTGGAGTGGGGGGGGGGGGTCCATGTGAGGTCACAAAACCATGCTGGTGCCCACAGTGTGGCAGGAGGTTCTCACCCACTGGGTGGTGGTTGGTGGTAGTGATGCCAGTGGTGATGGTGGTGTTGATGACGGTGGTGGCGGTGGTACTAGTGGCAGTAGTGGTGGCGAGGTAGCGATGGAAGCTGTGATGGTGGTGGAGGTGAAAGTGTTGGTGGTGGTAATGGCGATGGTGATGACGGTGGTGGGGGCAGTAACGGTGGCGATGATAGTGGTTGTCTCACCTCGATGTTGTCGCCTCCCAGCAATTCGATGGCCTTCTCCTCCGAGAGGCCGCAGCAGCCGTACTCGAGGGGCGTGAACACGGTGGTACACACGTTCACGTAGTCACACTGCAGCACACACACAACACGTAAACACACGCAATGTTACAAACACAACACGCAGCACACACTCAGCACACCCACACGCAGCATACAAAACACGCAGCAAACAAGCATATACCTACGCACGTGTATACACACACACATACGCAGCGCACTAGTTAACATGCAAGCGACACATGAACACATGCAATGATACAAATGCAACACGCACAGTACACACATGCGCAGTTGATACACAAAAAAAAGACAAAGATGACGCACAGCACGTGCAGACCCACACAGCAGGAACGTGAAGAATGGTGTGCTTGTTCTCAAGTTCAGCATTCCATTTAATATATCGGTCCCGGTGAGAGTGGTGCCGCTGGTGCGCATGTGTGGCAAGTGTAGTGCAGGGGTGAGCGCACCACGCTAAGAACCTGGAGACCCAAATTCGAGTCCCACTTGCAACCAATAACAGTGGGGAACATTTGAAACAATCCTAGGTCTATTTTAGGTCGAATCAGCCTTAAAATGAGTACATGGTACAATATTTGAACATCACCACTGGGGAGACAAAGGCAGCTAAAGTGTGGTGCTGGTCACACACCCTCGCATAGGTGCGCCATGCCTGCCTGCATATGTGCCCGTAACAGCACCTGCCTCAACAGCCTGTTAAGCTACATGGTGGATCTTTGTCGTTGAGTGTGGCAACACTGGTGAGCATGTCTGGTGAGTTCGCCACTGGTGTCTGGTGAGTGTGTGGTGCGTGTGCTGCTGGTGAGTGTGTGGCAAATGTGCCGCTGGTGAGTGCGTGTAGCTTGTATGCCGCTAGTAAGTGCATGTGGCGAGTGTGCTGCTGGTGAGTGTGGCCAGTGTGCCGCTGGTGAGTGCACGTGGCGAGTGTTCCGCTGGTAAGTGCATGTGGCGAGTGTGATGCTGGTGAGTGCATGTGGCGAGTGTTCCGCTGGTGAGCACGTGTGGCGAGCGTGACCCTGGCGAGTGCATGTGGCGAGTGTGCCGCTGGTGAGTGCGTGTGGCGAGTGTACCGCTGATGAGTGCGTGTGGCGAGCGTGCGGCTGGTGAGTGGGTAACCTTGGTGGTGCCGCCCCCGTAGAGCCGCTGGGCCAGCAGTCGGCCGGCCTGGATGGCGATGGGCGTGAGCTCCAGCTTGCCCTGCAGGATGTCGCCGATTGCGTAAACGTGCGGCACGTTCGTCTGCTCCACGTCGTTCACCGGCACCTTGCCCGTCCTGCCAACGTCACACCAGAGCGTACCAGTAGCGCTGTGCTACGCCAGGGGCAATCATCACCGGCAAAGGCGATAACCATGATGATTGCACAATTGGGATAAAATTGGGAGAAAATTACTACAGAAAAACAAGGAAACTGTTGAACGGTTGCCAGTGACAAGTCCATGAGACTCATCCGACATATCGTGGCGTTTGGGGTGGCCTAGGCCCGGCATGAGTGGTGGTGGTCGTGGTGTGGCCGGGGGCTACCTCTCATCCACCTTCACTCCAACCACGTCCAGCCCGATGTTGGACGTGCAGGCGTCTCTCCCCACGGCGATCAGCACCTAAACGGGGGTCCAGAAGTGACAATCACCGTCGTCGCTTAACAACAGAATACGCCATTACTCAATATCGCCCCCTACGGGGACAAACTTGAAACGACCCTCCTGAAAATAAAGAGTCGAAGAGACTCGGTGAGAGTATCCTGGGTAAACAACCGTAAATAAAATAATGTGGGGAGAGGTGCGCAGGACTCACCGTGTTGAACTCGCCCTCGTACAGCTCCGAGCCTTCCGTAGCCTTAGCATGGACCTTGAGGCGGCCGGGGGTGCCGGCCTCGAGCTGCTCAACCTACACAGACAAAAATCCCCCATATCGCCTTAACAGACTGTAGGAGCTCAACCTCCACACATAAGTCACATTTACTTACGACACAAATACTATATATCCATATACACCCACTTGGCTTCCAATTGCTCTACCTATACAATTGTGCACGTTTAGCACGGTTGGCTACGCATGGTGAAATTCAACATACATACATACACCGTGTACATACCAAATATCCCTCGTATACTCTTGAACAGAGTGTTTGGGCAAGTGTTGTTAGCGAGCACCTCTGAAGGCCAATAATACAGGGGGTGGGGTTGCCAGCACCATGCCCGGTCACTTCTGACTTCCCAGTGGCGATGTTTACACACCACACACTTATTTAAATCTAAGCTGATCTCGCGGAGGCTCAGGACCGGTTCAGATAATTGTCACCGACGTTGGCCACGAGATGTAATCAAACTTCGGGTTTGTAGCGTAACACGTGAACCACTGCGCCGCGACTCCCAGCTACCCTCCTCCTCGCCGTTAGCCCTACCGACGTTGTGATAACGGTTGTATCATGAAACGTCGTCTCGTATCTTATGGTATTAAGTGAATTAAGTCTCTTCGTTAAACACGCGCTCTCCTTTCTGTCTCTCAATGTAGCCACAAGCGCGCACCTCGTCGTGTTGTACCATGAATAATCTTATACCACGGCAGCGCCACCGCCGGGGTGGGCACTCGTGATGGTTGGGCCTAGTGGGGGGCCCCAACAGAGGCCCATGGGGAGCACCAATGGGGACCCGTGGGGGCCCAGGAGTGGCCCTACCTTGGTGGGCACGAACTGGCGGATGAACTTGACCCCGTGTTTCTCCATGTAGTCTCCGGCCAATTCGGCCATCTGCTGATCAAATCCTCGCAGCAGGATGGAGCGCACCATCACAGTCACGTCCAGCCCCAGCCCCGCCAAAAAGCCGGCGCACTCCAGCGCCACGTAGCTGGCGCCCACCACCAGTGTCTTGCCAGGGCAGTACGGTAGCGAGAAGAGGTCGTCGCTGAAAGTACAGCAATGCAACGCAATCAGCAACAGGGTGGCGGGGTGGTGGTAACACTCCTGCCTCGCAGCAAGCCGGGTTTGGATTAAATTCCCGATTCGACCGCCTTTCTATATGGGCTTTGCATATTCTCCCCGTTCTGCAGTTTTAGTGTGTGAGGGTGTGTGCGTGTTCCATTCTCGTTCATGCCCAACACGAATGACTATTATCTGAATCGGTCCTGGGCCTCCTCTAGGTCGACTCAACCTTAAATTAGTACCATACCCGATGCGATGTTCCGACATCACCACTAGGGAGAAAAAGGCCGCTGGGCGTGGTGCTGGCCACCCACACCCTCATGTGCCATGTTGACCTTCATAGGTGCTCGTTAACAGCACTTGCCCCAACATTTTGTTAAATCTATATGGTGGATATTTGTCTTTGTGTGAGAGAATGTGTGGGGTTTATATGTTCTCATATTTTGCATGGGTTCCCTCCGGGTTCTCCAGTTTCCTCCCATCGCTAAAACAACAATCTAACTTGTATTGACTTAGGGAGGCTTTCCTGGGTAAACAAGGGCAATCGTAATAATAACACAACAAAATAACACAAGCGGTAAGGAAACACGGAGCGATGTGACACAATAAACTCCTTTGCTTATTTTAACCTCGCGGTTGCGAGCACCAGCCCAAGGATCAAAACGTCAAGTGGCCAGCAACCAACAAAACTGAAGTTATTGTCGACCAGGGGTCGACAACCTGTGGCTCTGGAGCTGCATGCGGCTCATTAAGGACTGCTTCGTGACATTATTCACATGCATTGCGGCTTTTTAAATATTGTTTTTTTTACCAAAATCCACAAAATGGCTCTTCTTGTTATTTTGGTTTCTGACCCCTGTTATAGATTAGAGACGCAGGTCTGTCAAAGGGCAACACTGCCATTCGATTCGTGATTTGATATCACAATAACCGGTGATGCCAACACCACAAACGATGACAATTACGAAGTTGATAAGATGCCTGTCGTTATTGACACAGTCCGGTAACCTCATTTGGCGCGTGACTCGGATCGAGCTGGTACGGGGGTGGGGGGGGGGGGGCAGCTGCATCCTCTCCATCCGCACTCGTTACCCTCTCCAGCTCGTTAACTCATCTCGACTTGAGACACGAGACCCGGCTAATGAGCGGCAGCATCGATCTACCATGGCGAGGTAGTTTTAGCCTCCTCCTATGCAACCGTGTCCCGATGTCCCCCGGCTCCCCAAAACTGAGAACTGATTGTTCCGTGTTTAAATTTCAGAATTAAGATGCCAAGTTGATAGGTCTTCTTCGTACAGCTGACGTAAATTGTAGAGCAACAACTCTAATTTAACTGGGAGTCAAGCGAATCAACCATGATCTAAATAACGTCCCTCACCACTACCCGAAGTCGCACAGACTCCTTTTTGGATCCAAGCGCTTAACCTTCCACAATGCAAATTCAACCCTGATGGTGCTTGCAACGCCGAATGGAGTCCACACAACAAGTTGGCAGTGGTGCAAAAAGCATAACTCAAAAACACCGCGTCTGTTATTATTATACCTGAAACGGCAACTATGATATCACCCAGGAAGCACCCGTCTCATCAGATCTCAAATGCTTAGCAGGCTTTACCCTGGATAGTGCTTGGATGGGCGACCACTATGCATAACAAGTTGTTATTTGGCTACATTGTTGGCAGCAGATAGCAGTTCAGCAAAACCCAATGTTGCACTCTGCTTCCATGGTCCCCGCCTTCACTTACTGTTATGGGTCAAATAAACTCCCACAACCCACGTGGTATAAAGAGGCCCTCATCCAGCAGTGGACTGACAAAAGGGCTGTACATGTGTAATGACAGGGTGACACCTGCTGGCCTGGAAAAGGAATCGCGGGTACGGGCACGATTAAGTACCAACCAATTAGAGAAGGAGGTGTATCTGGGGCAAAGGTAACAGGGGGGGTTAGCCGAGATACTCTGGGAACCTGTCGTCTGGCCACGTGGAAGATCTCCTGCGTGGTTTCCATCGCTATCATCATTACGCCGCCAGCCAGCGGCGTAGCCGAGTGAGGGGGATGGGACCACGCCGAGTGATCGGCTGTGTGTCGAGTGAGGGCGATGGGGCCACGCCGAATGATCGGCTGTGTGTGTAGCCAGTAGAGACGATAATACCTAGAGTTATACTCAGTGTGAGGAAGAACAAGTGTTGGCCTGTGTTGTGCCCAGTGTGAGTAATAAAGAAGTACCCTCTACACGACGTGTCGCGGAAGTCGCTCATTAGACACGTACAAAAGAGAAATATATACAGTAGGAGACACTGAATGTTGAAACCGGTCCATTGGTTTTACCATGTGTGTTGAATCAATGCTGCCGAAATTACACGCTTCCAGAAGGAAGGTCACATTGCTGAAGGGATGTTTAAAACACTCAACACTGGAGTGGTTGAATGTTGACCTCTGCAATGATTAATCACCGCATCCTCGGAGCTTTGGACTCTGAGCGAACTCCGCTGGATTGAATGATGAATGCGAGGCAGCACGTGCCACTGCCTGACTCGGCGTTCCCGTGCTCGCGCTGCGCTCGGATTGAAACTGCCGAGTAAGGTTCTCATGCCGGTTCCTGACGCTGCTACGACAGTGTCGAGACGCACGACCTCCAAAATATTTCAGATATATATTTCTTGCATGAGAGATCAATAGACTCGCACAGAGACCTAGATAATCATATAGGAACCTAAAAGACCCGCACATAAATTCAATTTGATAAAACCACGTGCATAATGAGCACCTGTGAAGGCCAAAGCAACACGCCCGACCGCCTTTGTCTCCCCAGTGCTGATGTTTACACTATATCAGATACTCATTTAGAGCCGATTCAACATAGTGGAGGCCCAGAAATGGTTCATTTATTCTTTACAGTTGTTAGCCGACAGCAGGAATTGAACTCTGTTGATTGAATATGTCGCGCATTGCGCTAACCACTGTACTACCGCTCCAAACTACATATGCACATAGATTACAATAGCCCCCTGAGCACTTGTGCCAAGCTAGGTGCATTTTGAGGCCATGGGAAGTGCGAAAGCCTCGCTGGCAGGAAGTCACAGAACAGATGCGGATGTTACGGGTTCAATGAGATGACTGGCAAATGCACCTCTTGTGTTCCCCACTGTGCCACCTTGCTGCATTTTAGCAAGCTGGCATTCCGCTCATTGTTGTGAGCATCGCTGATCCACCCTCCGCTGTTACTGGAGGCCGAAAGCCTCCAAAATACCCAGTAGCCTCAAAGCACACCTAGCCAGGCACTGCCCAGTAGCATCCTTCACAAACCTCCTCCAGAAGTCGATGTTGACACTGCTGCTACCAGTCATCGGCAAGTCCACTTAGCTCCACATCCTTCTGTACCAGTTTACCTGGCACAGTTCACCTCTTCTCTAGATCCTGCTGTGGCCGTTAAGAGCCCCCTCTATCCGGCCAAGCTGCTTGGGCAGTTGCATTGGTTGATGGCGTACATGCACTCTCACACTCTCTCCTGTACACCAGCCACACCTGGTGATGCAAAACTCCTTGTCTCCTGGTATGCCCAGGTACCGCGGTCGTTCCCCCATGGCGAGGATGAATGTCTCGGCTGTGTGCTGGGTTTCCTTGCCCCGCTTGTTGGTGGCCTAGGGAGCGCAGTAAATACACGTACAGCCGCACGCACACATAGGTACAAACACACACACATAGTCACCAAGAATTTGTTTACAAATAGGTCACAGGTATCTCTTTCAAGAGTATTGAGTCGGTAAGAACAAGGATTTGCATATACAGGGTGAGTAAATGTATCATCTCATCTCAATCATTCCACTGCCCTGTCTAGCCAAGAAGCCTCCCAGCGGCAGCTGTTCCTGTGTAGCACAAGGTGGACGCAGCACTGACCTGCTAGTGGGCATAAAGCTGCCAGTGGGGGGTGATGTATTATCCTTTTGCTCGTTTACCCAGGAAAGCCTCTCCGACTCACACTTGTTTACCAATTGAGTAATTTGTCACCATCCACGTTACCACTACATTCCCAACTCACTCGACCACCACCATCACCACCACCCTTTACTGCCTTCTCACCACCCTCATCACAGACTCCATCATTGTCCCCCATCACAATCTCTATCACCACCTAACACTTGACCCGCTCTCCCACCATGCGTACCTTGATAGCGTGGGCGTCGGTGAAGGTTCCGAATGCGTTGACGTAGCTCACGGCATGGTCGCGCAGTGCCACGCGGTAGCCCCAGTTGAGTGAGCCAATGTAGTTCTGGATGGCTTCCTTCATGGTGCTCCAGTTGTGAGTCACTGTGGGTCAGGAGCAGGCTCACTTACTCACCAACTAATGAATCAACCCACTCACAAACTCACTCAATTATCAACACCAACTCACTCACTGCCATGCTCGCTCAAAATCCACTCACTTACCAACAAACTCCTTACCAACACAATCACCAACTCACTAACCAACTTACTCTCAATGCCACACTATGGGGGTCCCTCATTGTGCCCCAGTTATGAATTACAGTGGGAAGGGAGCAACTCACTTATTCGTGAAGCTATACATCAACTCAATCGGCAACTTAATCACCCATTCACTAACTCACTCCACTCATGTGGCTTGGAAAGTGCTGTAGTGCCACAGCAGTGTAGTAGTGGCACAGCTGATGAAACAGTCACACAGCTGCCGGTAGAAGTAGCACATCTAGTGTAGCAGTGGCAGAGGAAGGCACCTTGCTGGTCGTACTCCCAGCCAAACTTGCGCGAGTCGGAGAGCGCGTGGCCCAGCAAAGCCGCCTGGTGCATCAGCTTCTTCGGGATGCAGCCCACGTTCACGCACGTGCCACCCAGGCCTGGCGAAAACAGAGAGAGATATGTTTTAATCATTAATAAACAGTATATTTTTATTAATAGTAGGCTTGTTTAAACAAGTCTCATCGAGTCTCATAACTCTCTTACAGGAGGGTCCTGCAAAGTTTTCCCAGTAGAGGGCGATGATTGCTATGTGTGCTGTAATCCCAACCAAGCAATATGCGGTGTAATTCTTCTAATATGGAGCATGACGCTGGATGGCCTACTCTGTTAGGCCAGGTGAGCATTTGAGCAAGCAGGTGTGTGGGTGAGCAGGAGAGAGGCTCACCCCATGACGTGCCCAGCGGGGTCGGCTGTACAAAGTCCAGCACCATCACCTTCTTGCCGAGCTTGGCCGCCTCCTGCGAAGGGAACGGCACGCTGGTACTGCGGGTAGCGATGCGTCGACTCAACGATTTGACGTAAATTTTTACACTCACAATGCAAGCGCCAAAACACACAAATCGATGTTACCTGCTACAATGCACAGTTCAGAAAATGCGGCGGTTAACAAAAACAGAAAGGTGCTCAAAGAAGTGTGGAGAGATGCGTGTTTGGAATTGTAGTGTGATACAAAAAGAAAACAGATTCAAGACATCATCTACAGTGTTGGGGGCAGGATACGTCGCCAGAAGGGAAGCTGACCGTGGTCAAGAATAATAACGGAGTGGCAGCCAAAGAATGGAAGGCATCAGAGAGGCCGTTACCAGTGGAGGGAGTTATGAGATCAGCTCATGGTGTGCAAGTGCTGGCTGAATTGTTGCATTGCAGGTTCGTGAGATGTGGTGGTGGTTTGGAGCGGCCTTCATCCAGCAGTGGATTGTTCATGGATGATGATCATGGGCCAACATGACCCCTGCTGCCAAACGCAAGTCAAGCGATTTCCTGCTCAAATGAGCATTGAGGAATTGGTGCTCATCTCCTGTTTACAATCCTGAACCAGTGGTGGAAATTCTATATTCCTATGGCAAGGGCCAGTCTATGCATAGAACCACTGTTGACTTCCCCACAAAGGATGACGGGCTGAGTCAATCTGATTCCAAGCCGCTCGCTCTACCACTGAGCCACCAGCTGATGAAGAGCTCGAACCTTAAAGTTAGTGGAGGGATTTTGAGCCAGGGCGAAAATTCTACATCGCTATGGCAGGGGTTAAATAGCAAACGGCACAACATACGCCACAAAAATGAATTATTCTTCAATCCAATCTTCACTCCAAATCTCGACAATTCATGAAATCGTGCGAGAGGTTGGGGGGATGGGAGGAAGGAAAAATGTCAGAGCTAGGGTGGCGCAGTGGTAACACTTGAGCTTTAGAGTAAGAGGGCCTGGGTTAGATACCCAACTCAGGTGCCTTTCTATGTGTAGTTTGTTTCTTCCGCTGTTTTGTATCGGTTTTCCAGTTTCCTCCCACAGCTAAACAACAATTTAACTGGTATGGACCAAACATCCCAATACTGAAAAACAACCTACAAATTACTCATCGGGATACAAGAATCTTGGGACCGAGTGAATACTTTCCTGGCTAAACAAGTGAATAATAATAATCAAGCGGCTGCCTCTACCTCTGTACATACCTTTACAGGTGTACACAGAGGTCAAAGTACAACTATTGCCCCTAAGTCTATTACCGCATTCTCCAGATTATAAGACACCCTGGAAAATAAGACGCACCCACCAACTTGTTCCCGGTGTTAATAAAATTACACAGATCTGGCTTTCATAATTTCGTGTTCACCACTCAAACTTAGATCGGATGACGACCAAATGTGGGCAGAGGTCCTCGCACGGCCAGTATTGGTGCTTAAATCATCGGCTATGCACGGCTCCGACGACACCGTACCAGATCAGCAGGTTGTGTGTTCTGGGCCTGCTCAAGATGGCCACCACTTTCCCAAGGCTTGCTCTGTCGCAGCCGACACCTGCACGGAGGCAGTTCAAAGCATCAGCTGCAGATTGCCCGTGGTTCCTATGACCCGGATAGAAGAGTCTCCGTGGTGCGTTGTGATGAATCTAATCTCGCATACACCTACCATATTTAGAGGCACCCACAAATCGAGCAATCAAATTTCATTTTTAAAAGTGCGTTATAATCATGATTGGCGACGTTTTGAGAAGAGAGATGGTCTCTGTCCTATGACGAAGGGCCATTACTTTAAACTTCACCTATTAAACTTCTGTTCCTCTTTCAGTCATTGTTATCGACAAATGTTTTTTTTATCTCAGGAAATGCTGACTCACCAGGAAATTGCTGACATCACTTACAATGTGTACAGAAGCCTCCAAAACTGTTTGCCATGTGGTGACAAAGTAGAGGGAGGGGCGCGCAGGTGACAATGGGATAAATGCCAAGGCCTCAGGGCTAAATGTAGGTGCAGTTCTGCCATGGTTTAAAAACGGTCACCACGCTTGATACCAAGCCGTAATCTCTACACGTTGTTCTCATGACTCTCGCGGCAATAACACATGAACCTTATGGTGGTACCCCAGGGTAACATAAGTACCCCGGCTCTCGCATAATGTCCATGATAGTAATTTTTTGTCTGTTGATGGTTGGCGATGCGGCAATCAACTCATCTCGATGAGCTGTACACGATGCACTTTGGTGCATACGAGCGTTCAGGGTTTCAGCGCAATTGTCCTCGCTGCGCTTCGACATCTTGGAGTAGCACTGATTTCGGATTTATTGGTACCCCAGTCGCGGAGTTAAGTACACCCCTGGAAAACATAGTGTCCCAGAAAAAAAAATTAATTGCCTCGGCCATTTTGTATTATTTGGTACCCCGGGGTACCGCCATTAGGATAGCATGCGCCATCAATAATCACTTGCAACGCGGTGCTTGTGTTAGCAGTGGTGATGGTGACACGTGGTCATGAGGTGGCACCTGAGTTCTGAGATCAATGTCGAGACTCTGACAAGCGAAATGTAAATTGCCACCAGCTGATGCTAGGGCCGTGCCCTCAGGGGGTGGTGACGAGTGGAGGGAGGTGGCTGTCCCGCCCAGCACCATCGAGAAATTTAATGGAGTTTATGGATGATGAAAATGCGATGATAGTGTAGGCAACTATGTTCCTGGTCATTCGATACCATCACTCATAAACCACCATTGTCCATCATCACCCACCATTGTCCATCATCACCCACCACCCAAGGTCACCCATCAACCACCATCATCTATCACCTACCACCAACTACCACCAATCAGCCACCATCACCTGCCATTAGTCACTACCCACCATCAACAATAACATATTATCCACCATCATCAACTATCCACCATCACCAACCATCCACCATCACCCAACATCACTCACAAGCCACCCTAAGTCTTTACACAGCCTCGCTTCACTACCCTACACATTTTTCCAGTTTCTGAGCACAGGCACAAAGGACAAAAACTTCAAACGGCTAGCAACAAAGAGCACTATCAAAGTCAAAATCGGTAAGAGTTTACATGTTCCTTAAATTGAGCAAAGCCATTGTAAGAGCTTGGGAAAAGAGACACGAATGTGAAGGAATCACCAAGGGGAGCAGAGCGAGAGAAGGATTAGAAATAGAAGTGTCATGGTCTGCAGTGTGGTGATTGAGTGGTTGAGTGTGGACGAGTGATTGAATTAGTGAGTTAGTGGGCAAGTGGGTGGGTGAGTGTGTAGGTAAATGAGTGGGGGAATGAATGCGTGAACAAGCAAGTGAATGTGTGGGTGAATGGATATGTGAATGAGTGAAAGAATTGAGTAAGGTTATTTCTACTCATGGCACCCACCCACTTAAGCCGGTCACGGCTAAAACCAAACTTCTAAAGTTAGTTTGGCAGTAATCTCAGCCCAACTGTGCCAGAGGCACACACACGCGCATGCACCATGACTCAGCAGTTTTCCGGTTAGGGCTGGGACGATTGCTTTAAAGCACAAGGGGCCGGTGTGGAACGGCACCAGCACCACTCCACACACCATTGCTGCTCCTACCCCCACCACTACTGTGAGGCAACGCCACACTTAAGCCTCATCAGGCACCCATGGCCAGTAACTCATTGTGTAAGCACAAGGTACGGCCGTGCTGCTTTTTAGTGCTAATGACGCTCGCTTCAAAGCTAATGCGATTCTGCTGCAGCAGTCGTGGTAAAAGGGGAAAAAATGCGGACCACAAACTCCCCCACCGCAGCGTGGAGGAGCACGTGGGTGGGTTGGTGGGTGAGCGCGCCATTGAGCAAGCAGTTGCGCAAGCTATCAAATGAAAGTGGGCGAGTGAGCAATTGTGTGAGCTATTGAATGAGCGTGCAGGCGAGTGAACTTGGCTGCGTAAATGAGGAGAGTTTGATGGCGAGTGAGCAAGTAGATGAGCGAGTGGGTGACCGAGTGAGCGAGGAAAGCGGTCCCCCCCTTGCCTTGGAGGCAGCGAGCCCCCCGGAGCCCCCCCCGATGACAATGAGGTCGTATTCGTAGGAGTGGCGCACTGCGTCCGTGTCCTCCACCGGTGGTGCGGGTGAGGGGGCTGTGGAGGCCGCCAGCAGTTGCTGTAGTCGCCCGCTCTGGTACGCCTGCATCACCACCAGTGCCAACAGACAGAGACGAGCATAACCACCCACTAGCTCACACCACATCCTCTCACAACACTCAGGCACATGGCGTGTGTGTGTGTATATACACCCACCTGTACACATACCGAAGACAAATATTCCCTCTATAGCCATACAGGTTTGGGGAAAGTGCTGTTAGCGAGCACCTATGAAGGCCGGAACGGCACACGAGGGGGTGGGTGGCCAGCACCACGCCCAACCAGCTTTGTCTCCCTAGTGGCAATGATTACACACTGTACTCGGTACTCATTTGAGGCTGCGTCGACCTAGAGGCGGCCCAGGACTGGTTCAGATAATCGTCACTGGTGTTGACCGTGAGCGGGAATTGAACTTGGGGTCACCGGGTTTGTTTGTTTGTAACACAGTGCTCTACTACCGCTCCTCATTACCATCACACACACATGTACACACGCGTACACACAAAAGACAAGGATCCCCTGTATAGCATTTAACAGATTGCTAAAGGCTATACAGACAGACACATACGCACAACCCCCCTTGTAAATAATGAGCTGTACATGTGAAAAGATCACAAAGACCTCGCACATTTCCGTCCGAGGAACCCAGAGCCAATTATCACCAATTAACATCTCCTTCAGACCGTCTATTTCCAGCGACGTTGCATATTCTGGGGGTTTCTGTGTGAGATGAGAATGCAATGTCTACTCAAATTAAATAATTGTCCCGGGAGTCTCACACACACAAAGACCCCCCAGTAGAGCTTCAACATAATTTTGGGGCAAGTGCTGTTAGCGAGCACCTATGAAAGTCAGCAACGGAGCACAAGGTGGTGGTGTGACCAGCACCATGCCCCGTCACCTTTGTCTTTCCAATTCCAATGATTACACACCACACCAGATACTCATTTAAGGCTGAGTCAACCTAGGGGAGCAAACGGCAGGCTCATATATTTGTCACTGATGTGAGTGGGAATCGAACTTGCCGGGTTTATAGCGCAGTGCACTCACCACTACACTACCGCTTCCCACCCATATACACCTACACACCTTTACACACACAACTGTGCACAAAGACAAAGATTATCCACATGGCCACACAGACTGATGGGGCAGTGCTGTTAGCGAGCACCTGCAAAAATGAACACAACAAGCCATGATCGCGCTAATGTTGGGCAATGTCAAACTGGGATGACGGCTGTGGCTTACCTCGATCGTCTTGTCACAGCCTCCCACGTGAGTCTTGTTGACAAACACGTTGGGCACTGTTTTCTGTCCCGTCATCTCCAGCAGAACCTCCTGGATGAGAGGCCCATCGTCTGAGGAGATACACTGGAGAGTGAGAGAGGTGGAGCAAGCCTAACACTCCCACAGCCAGATGTATACGCTACTACTTTTCTCATACACATCCTTACCTATTAATACTACACTCATACATTAATTTCACACTCAAATACAGTCGTCACATTTATCATATTTTTGTATTTTAGTATGCTTGTTTACCCGAGAAACAAGCATACTAAAATACAAAGAATCTAAGTTTACTTTTTCAGGAGGGTCCTGTCAAGTGGCTGCAGCAGAGAGCAATGTTGCTGTTATGTGAAATCCAATAAGTAATTTGCAGGTAATTTTTCACCAGTGGGATGTTTGGCCAATACCAGTTCCACTGTTTGTGTGGGATAGTACATTAATGCCATATACCCACACATCAACACCACATCCCTACAGTCCTGACTTCTCTGTGCATTACCACTGTACTCACACCTACAAAATCCACACCCATGAGTAATCCTTTTAAAGGTGAAACATGTGGAAAAGTCTACAAGAGGAGTTCATGAGGCTTTTAAAGCAACACACAGTCGTCGTTGTTATTATTATTACTACTACTCTATACGTCTGACAAGGTGGTGGGGTAAAACAATCAGGCATGTGTGTCGTGTGGCATGGCGTGTTGTAATGTAGCATGGTGTAGTTTGGCATGCTGTACAGTGTGGTGTATTGTATTGTAATACAACAATGGTGTAGTTTAGCATGGTGTGTAGTGTAGCAGTCACGTAGGTGAAAATAAAATAACAAAAAATCACGACGTTTCGGCCACAACACAAGCGGCCTTCATCAGGTGAAGGGACGAGACTGTCTGGAGGACACTCCAGCGCTGTCCTCCAGACAGTCTCGTCCCTTCACCTGATGAAGGCCGCTTGTGTTGTGGCCGAAACGTCGTGATTTTTTGTTATTTTATTTTCACCTACGTGACTTTACCCAATAGAACCAAAGAGTATGGATCCTAGCAGTCACGAAAGCTTTAAATCTAGAATAGTGTAGCAGTGTAACAGTGTGTTGAAAAGCAGCATGACATAGCTTACTGCAGGGCTGAACAAATAATTATAAACACATGCCAATCATCCTTCTGAAAACAATGACTAAGACCACAGCTTCAATGCAACTACTAACCCCTCTCAATAATAAATCGTACGAGTAGCAAGATCTCTACTCTCATCAAAAATATCCAATCGTGTCAATGCGGAGAAATTACAATCCGCCTTCCTCCTTCACATTATATATTTTTTCACATATCCCAACAACCGCGCAGCCTTCTGGGAATGCATTACTATGAAGGAGGCGCATTTGTCTGCTTATTTTATCATCATCATAATCGTAAACAATTAATTCTAGACCCAAACATCGCATCTCCTGGATTTGCCATTGCTTGGAGACACTGGTGTAACCATCAATCGCATCAGAACATCAACAGGCCAATGCGCACATCTCCTGCATAAATGGGAAATTAAGAACAAAAGCCGCCACAGTAGTGCGATTGTTGCCATGCAACCCAAATTATGGAGCGTATAGTCAACCACTGTAGTCTGAGCTCCTTCAATGGAGGAGGAATAGCAACACTACACGAACTCTCTCCTGAAGCCCTCGTGGCTAGCGGGTCTCGACATTGGCACTAAGCTTCTGAACATTTTGCTGCCATTATGTCAGTCTCCACAACGGCAATTATATTTTCAAGAATAATAATATACTATGCCACAGCAATGTTATCTGAAATTACAATTACAGGGATTACTGAAATTAAAAACAGATGACACGGTGACCATCACCTTCACCCCATGCCTGCTGCACACAAGAACATCTCTGGTCAGCGCTGTGTGTGCCAGTTAGCGCCCGGCTAGAGCAGGACTCAGCAATCTGCAGCTCCGGAGCCGCATGCGGCTCTCGAACGACTGCTTCTTGACGTTATTTATTAAGGAAATTCTCATCTTAACATGGATTGCGGCTCTTGAAATATTTTTTTTACCAAATTCGAATAAAATTCTTCTTCTTGTTATTTTGGTAGCAGACCCCTGGACCAAAGGGCTTGCAATGGCAGTGGAGTGGTTGGGTGTGCTGCGAGGCAGCAGTGCGTGACCGAGTCTCGTACCTATCAGGTCCAGCTCCAGGGCTTCGTAAGAGACCTTCAGTTCTGTGAAGAGCCCCTTCACCTGCCGACCAGAGATGGGAATGAACTCATTAACATTCAACACCAACATTTTGTTTATCTAGGTGCGGTATTAATTGCATGAATGCATACTGTGTCAGTTATATATTTAAAATAATCGTATACCTATTCCATTCTTTGCGATGGATGGGTGTGCGTGCATGTGTAATTACATGTTTTCTATGTGTTTACGTATGTGTATATATGCAATTATACGAGTGTGTGCATGTATATTGGTGCTCGATAACAGCACTTGAATGCTATAGGCGGGGGATCTTTGTTTTTGGGTATATAAGAACATTGGTGTCATATTTGAACCAGTTCGGAGCCTACCCTTGGTTAACTCAGCCTCAAAAAAATACCTGGTGCAGCATGTCTGCACTGGGGATATAAAGGTGGGCAGGATTGGTGATGGCCACCCCACCCCCTTATGCGCCGTATCGGTCTTCAATTGGGCTCGCTACCAGCACTTGCCCCCAGTCTGTTAAACGCTATACAGAGGATCTATGTCTTTGTATGTATATGTAGGTGGGGTGTGGTAGTGCAACGATTAGCACACTGCGCTATGAACCTGACAGCCCGAGTTCGATTCCTGCTCACGATCAATACCAGTGACGATTATTTGAATCGGTCCTGGGCCTCCCCTAGGTCAACTCGGCTTCAAATGAATACCTAGAGAGGTGCGTAAACATCGCTACTGGAAAGACAAAGGCGGTCGGGCGTGGAGCTGGCCATCCACCCCCTCGTGTGCCACAGTATCGACCTTCATAAGTGCTGCTCACGAACACTACTTGTCCCAACAATTTGTTCAGGCTATATGGGGGATCTTTGTCTTTTTGTGTAAATGTATATTGTTTGTACACGCATCATTACGTGTTTGCTATCCGTGTGTAAATCAACACCCAGGACACCCTAGCAAATGAGATTTTTCCATCTCGAGGGATTATTAAGGTGAAAACCCTCAATAACTAAGCAATAAACCCAAATAAACACTGCAACTCTGGATCGCTCACTCAAAGCAATCGGTACCATTGCTGACTGCTTGGCGTTTTAGGTATCTACGTCTGCGCTTAGCACACATGCACAAATAAACATATAAAGATTCCCCCAATACTTATGGCCTTAACTGGTTGTTGGGGAAAGTGCTGTTAGCGAGATCCTATAAATATGAGGGGGGGGGGCGGGTGTGGCTATCCGTTTGATAGTGCTGCTTGTTGCTGGCCGTTACACGTTTGGGGGCCTTTGCTCAAACTATAAAAAGATTAACAGGTACACTTATCTCCACGCCCAGCATGGCGGTGAAAATTATCCCTAACCAGTGATCAGAGGCGCACCCCCACCCGGGAATGCTCCCACGCCAATTAGTGGGCAAAAATTACATGTGTTTTATGACGGCACACTCATCAGTATCAATCAGCCTCCTTTTTAACCCCCCACCCCCCCATGGAGCACCTACATTGCAGACCCCTCCTCCCTCCCCCCATGATGATGGCAATATGTTCAGAAGCCCAACGCCAATATCGAGGTCTGTGAGCCATTAGCATGGTTGGCTACGTAAGGTGGCGAAGAGAGTTCAACAAACACACATAGTCATGACGAGAGGACTCTTTAGGACAGAGTTCATGTATTTTTGCGTTTTCTCCTCCGTTGAAGGAGCAAAGCGTACGGTCGTTTACGATGTGGACCATTTTTTGGTTTACACGGCCACAATCGCACTGTGGATTGTCATTCATTTTCCATTCATGAAGGAGCTGTGCGCATCGGCCTGTTGACGGTCTAATGCGGTTGATGGTTACACCAGTGTCTTCGAGGCTGGTGTCAAATCCAGAAGATGCGATGTTTGGATCTAGAATTAATTGTTTACGATTATGATGATAATATTGAACACACAATCTTTATCTGCAGCAGCCTCGACTCTTTCAAGTAAGGCTGCCACTGCCCTGGAACGTGGCGTCATTAACTTTACAAGCATTGAGATTTAACGACGGTTTTTAAGACAGCACTGCCTGCTGCCATAGGCCTCCGGGCTCACGAGGTGAGCGTGGTTGAGACTATGGTGAGGTTATGCAAATCCTGACCACTCCCAACTCGGTCACCACCCAAAGCTGTCCTCTGGGTAACGAAGAGGCTTCTTGCATTGTTATAATATTTCACACTATATCATACAATATTAACGTTGACGGTAAGGTGATGATCGTGATAGAATTTCCCCATAAGTTTGCAGTTCGCGTTTTTTTAAATTGTTTTTTTATGCTTTGCTCTCATTCCAGTACGATTAAACACTGCTGAAGAGTTGTTCTAACTGCAGTTAAGTGGAAAATAACGAGTGGGTCGTCCGACTATGACAAGTCGCCCCACGGTGACAGAAGTTACTGTGCACAGCGCTCTATTTTTTATTCAAACATTTTATTTTGTAATGCCTTGTTACGGAATATTTCGTTTGCAAGCATGTCCAGGATGTAATTAAACGAAACGTTGTTGTTGCAAGGTGGACACTAATTAATCCAGAAAGTTAAGATGCTACTTCGCAATGACGGACGGAAAAAAAATAACCATCGCGGTGCCCCATTGCAGAGTGATGGGTCCTTGTGCGGCCGTAATGAAACGAATCCACGGAGCGTAATGCAATTGAGATGTACATTAGTTGTGGGCCGTACATAATAAAGTCGTGGGTCGCGTGAAACTCAGTGGTTGTGGGTCGTCGTGTCTGGCCCGACGTTGCCCAGCTACTGCCGTACCGGGTTTAAATCACGGCTGTGACGTGACTGACGACGCCTCCCTCGCGTGTCACGAAGAGAAAAGACGGCGAGGAATTCACCCTGGCAAGTCAAGACTCCGCATGCCGAGCGAGCACAACCACACGCCCCAGAGGCCCTGAATCCTCGCAACTATTATATCCGGAACGCGAACCATACACACACACGCGCGAGTTTACACAATCCTTCACAACCCCTCTCCATGAACTAGACAGTGACTCGGCTTTCACCATGCAGTCGAGTACGACGCCGACTCGAGAGAAAGCCAGACCGACCGCCTCCACACACCAGCCGCGAGAACACCCACCGGCTCACCCCTCGCATTCACCCTCAAATCAACTCACTCACCCCCTCCCAGCCCTCTCACCTTTTCGCAGAACGGACAGAAGCTCTTGCTGAACAAGACCACTGGGACTCGCTCCACAAGACCTTGGACCCGCGTTCGGGCCGCCTCCCGTGCCTCTCCCGTGGGGGGCATGGCTCCCCTGTGGCTCCCCTGTAAAGGCGTCTGTAGGTCCTGGTGGGTCCTACTCAGGATCAGCGAGCCCTGTTGTGTTGTCGCTGGTGACAGGGGCCCGGATGCACTGGGGTCTGTAAACATCAGTAGCAGCGATTAATTACAGGCGGAAACGTCCGGGACTGAACTCAGGGAAATGTTCAGGCACCCCGAAAAATCTTCTCAATGAAGCCCCGTTAAGAGATGTACGAATAGAGAGTAAAAGAGCATGAGGGGAGCGAGAAAAGGGGGGGGGGGGAATGAGGAGCAGAGGAGGGTGTAACGAGGTGTGTGGAGAGGTCAGTGGAGCCGAGTTGATGTCCGGAGTTGATGGGAGTTGCGTGACTAAGTGTGCGGGGAGAGTTTACGGGGAGAGTTTACGGGAAGTTGAGCCGAGAAGAGGCGAGGGGAATTGAGTGAAGAGGTGTGTGAAGAGAGTTTATGGAGAGCGAAGAAAGGTGTGAAGATGAACTAAGATTGTGGGAGCGGAGGAGGCGACGGAGAACGAGGAGAGGGTACAGTATGTGAGGAAGGAGAGAGTTTGAGAAGTGAAGAGGGGAGGAGTACAGCGAAAATCGAGGCGATGGAAGCGATGATCAACGACGGCAGATGAAGAGGCGGAAATGATGTTAATGATGAATTAGGGAATATTGATGATGTTATGTTGACGACTAGGTGATTCTGATTATTGACACGCTAGATATTTTTTTTTTATAACAGGATGTTCCTGTACATGACGATGTTGGTAAGGTGCTGATGTTCCCGAGTTGGGCAATGAGTTGATAATGTAGAGGCGAAGCTGAATACGTAGAGCATAATGTTGGAGGATATAACTATGTTGACGAGGACGTTGGTGATGTAATAACGAAGTTCGGTTAAGAGGTGTGAATGAGGTTGGTGACGAGCTCAAGACGATGTTGGCGATGAGGTAATAGAATGATGTTGCTGATAAGATGTGAACGAGGTAAAGACGAGGTTGGTGGCGAGGTGATGGTGGCGAGGTGATGGTGGCGAGGTGATGGTGGCGAGGTGATGGTGGCGAGGTGATGGTGGCGAGGTGATGGTGGCGAGGTGATGGTGGCGAGGTGATGGTGGCGAGGTGACCACCTCTCACCTCCGCCTCGCGCCACTGGCGGGAACCCCGCGCCGCTCTCGCCTAGGAAGCCTCGCGCGCGTCAGCGAGCACGTGACACTCTGACCAAACTCACGATTCTTAAAACGCCTTGCGGGCGTCCAACGTCCGTGACAGGCGTCTTAACGAACGTGATGGGCGTAACCCTTGAAAGCCGATTACGCGCCCCAAAGGCACTTTTTCTTATCATTGACTGTGCCCACGGGTTTGCACCCGGTGGTTGAGCTCATGAGATGGGGTGGGGCCACAGTTATGGGGCGGGGCCGCGAGTAAAAGGGCGGGACCACTAGCGAATGGGGCGGGGTCACACGTAAAGGGGGCGGTGCGGCGAGAGAAGGGGTGGGGGGACGACTGAATGGGGAGGGGCACGAGTAAAGGGTTGGGGGCGAGTGAAAGGGACGGGTTCAATTTAGACTTAAAATTGCATGATTGCAGGAATTCTTTCCTTGGTTCTTTCGGTAAAGTCTCGTAGATAGAAAAATAATAATAAAAATAATAATAAATAATAACTTGAAAATAATAAAAGCAAAAAAGCCACAATAAAAAAATAGTAAAATCAAATTCAAGAATAAATTGAAAATATCATGGGACCTCCTTTGCCAGTACCAAAATATGTTAATATCTTAACACCTAAATTTTGATTTAAAGCTTTCGTGACTGCAGGGATTCATATTCTTGGTTCTTTCGGTAAAGTCACGTAGAAGGGAAACAATACAATAATAAAAATATAAAACAATAAAATTCTCACGACGTTTCGACTGCAACACGGTAGGACCAACACCTCGGCCGTGGCAGATCACTGTTATAATTCAGTAGGCTCACATGACATTGACTTCTCCAAGACAGAGGTTATTTGCAAACCATCTGGCTACCATGAGAGATTCGTTCATGAGGCTATCCACATATACAAACACACAGACAATTTCAAGCGAGAAGATGGATTTTGGCTTTAGCAATCATTGGAAGGATTTGATAAACCTTTCCTGGTCTTAATTGATTGTTCACGCTTACAGTGGCTTTCAGACCGCATCCATTATTTTCGTCTCCCCCCTCTTTTCCGAACATAGATGGACTCGTCCGTCTGAATAACTGCCAAATCGCTCTCCGTGGTGCTAACGTTGAAAAAACGCCACTTTTTCAAATTTTCTTGCGGTGGTTTTCACACCTGATGATGATTGCTTGTGTTGCAGTCGAAACGCCGTGATAATTTTATTGTTTTATATTTTTGTTATTTTATTGTTTCCCTTCTACGTGACTTTACCGAAAGAACTAAGAATATCTTAACACCTGTTTGTTTCCAGAAAAAAATAGAAAAACCTATTCTCAAATGAAAAAGCAAAAAGAGGCGGGGCCATAAGTAAAGGGGGCGGGGTGGCGAGTGAAGGGGGCGGGGCACGGGCGAAGGAAGCGGGGCCATGAGTAACCTTATTGTTGTCGCACGGGGGCCACCTCGTGCGACTTTTAGGTTTCCACACCAACCACGATGGATGGGTGGTCAATCAAGGGCACCTCCACCCACCACCCAAGGTTCAAGTTCTTCGTGTGGCTGATGTTGATGGAGAGCAACAGCTGTAATTTTCACGAGCCGGATAATTGCGTCAGAAATAGCAGCTGTATCACCGTGCATTGAGTCATAGAGTATCAATCTTGATTTGAAGCTTTGGTGACTGCAGGAACCTATACTCTTTGGTTCTTTCGGTTAAGTCACGTAGGTATAAAATTTTATTTAATACATTTTATTTTATACCTTCGTGACTTTACCGAAAGAACCAGAGTATTGCTCTTTGGTTGTTTCGGTAAAGTCACGTAGAAATAAGAAATAATAATAATAAAAACAAAATTACATGATAGCATACGACGTTTCGATTGCAACGCAAGCAATCATCATCAGGCATAGAAGAGCTAAATTTAAGAGAGAGAGGAAACACAGAACCGCAGATATATATACAGACACCCAAGCAGAGGGAGTTAACACAGAGACACAAAGAGAGACACAACGTATGGAGTACAGACAGTATGTTCAATTGTTCTCGGTGATCAGTCACCGCACTTTTCCGGACAGTTTTTAAGTCAAGTTGGTTTTGTTTCACGAGGCGACAACTCAAGGGAACCGGGATGAGTCTCATTTTGCAAGCGTGATCTGGGTCACCAAACTGACATAAGGGGCCGTCCATAAATGACGTCACGCGATTTTTGATGATTTTTGACCCCCCCCCTTCGTCGCGCGGCGTCACAAAAGTCAGACCCCCCCCCCTCAAATATGACGTCACAAAGCTCTGCCCCCCCCCCCCAATAAAACATGCTTAAAATCGCTTTAAACTATTGTCATTGTAATGTGTATTTAATGTGGCGCTGCACTCTGATGTTGTAGGAGAAAACATTTATTAAAAAGTCAATTTAATTAAGTAGAACGTGTTGTCTATATTTTTTTTAAGTTGCGCATTTTGATGTGACGTCACATTTCTCAACCCCACCCCCCTCGTCACACATCGTCACAAATATCTGATCACCCCCCCCCCCCCTAGGTGCGTGACGTCATTTATGGACGGCCCCTAAGCAAAACAAAGTACTTTATACAACACTCTACCGTATAACGGTCCGTTGTATTAATAAAGCTAGCGCATGTTCTTTGAGGTTTCAACCGGGACACGTGGTGAGCTATCGGCCCCTCCCCATCTCACCACTATCGTTGCCCGTGAGTGGCCTGACATTGGCCCCACCTACGAGCTTGCTCGTGTGCAATGAATAAGGGTCAGTGACCGAAACGTCGCCTATCGCATACTTTTCGTTTTAAGGCCACAGTGCTATTGACGTATGTGATTTTTTTCTTCATTTTACCGCTAATATTACTGCGGGAGTGACGTGACGTCACTACATGTTGGGTAAGTGACGTTTGAGACTTCTACCCATTGACGTCACTCAGACAGAGAGGGACGTGTGACGACACGACCATACGAAAGGAACTAACGTCACGGACCTGCAACAAAATGACGTCCCCAACAACCATCTAAACAATCAAGAACACTGCGTGACCTTAAAAAGGGTGGTGGGTGGGGAAACGCATTTATAACCGGCGACGTTTCGGGCAACGGCCCTTCCAACAATATCGGCCGCGCACACGTCACTCGCAACAACCGCAGCGCGAGACGGGGAAGTGACGTCACAGACTCCCCCCCTCCCTCCCCTACGCCCGCTTCCGGCAGCACGGCTTCAAGATGGAGTCGGCGTTGGCACGGCTCAGGGCCATCCCCACCGACATGGTACCCGAGCCGAGCCGTGCTGGGCCGAGCGCCGCTCCCCACGTGCACGTTCACAGCACGCGGCCCCTCCGGAGTCAACCGGGGCGCCCGGGTCCCGTGGCGAGACGAGCCCGAGCGCTGTAGTTATGTCAACATATGGGATGGGATGGAGGGGGGGGAGATGTTGGCAGCGACTTTGGTGCTGGGTTTGTTACTGGCGGATGGTGTTTGGTGGATGGCGTGATGATCATCACCGGTCCTGGGTGTCAGTGGTGATTGGTGTTGCTGCTGTCGCTAATGCTTTGTCATAATGCGAATAGTGTGGCGATGGTAGCGATGATGTCGCTGATGGTAGATCGCGTCGGTGATGCTGGTGATCGGGATCTTAAGACTTGGAGGAATACGATGGGCTATGAAGATCTTTTTTTTTTCACAGATGTGATGATGGAGCGAATAATTACTGGCACAGTGCTGCTTGACGATTGTCGTAGTCGTGCTGATGTTGGCGCTGTCCCCCCCCCCCAACCATCTGCAGGATTACAAGGGACAGCGCCTGGCTGAGCAGATCTTCCAGACGGTGACGGGAGTGTTTGCGGTAAATCTTCACCTCCTCACCTCGCTCTTCTCTCTCGCCTCACATCCTCACTTTTCCCCTCTCCCCTCTCCCCCTCTCATGTGATAAGTGTGGTTTGTTTTGGTCCGATTGCTGTTTACGACAGCCACCACAGTACACACACGCACCACAAGTGGCGTGCTATATACCAGCCACGTGCGCGCGTGGTGAGGTGGTTGAGTTCAGGTGGTGAGTTTGGTGATTAAAATGGTGAGTGTATGGATGGTGAGTTCTGATGAAGGCGACAAATCTGTCGTGAGTTTGTTGTGATGAGCATAGGGTAGTGAGTACAGCGATTCGGTTGTTGGTAAAGAGTTTGGTGGAGGTGATGGTGAGTATTGGTGAGTAGTTGAGCGCTGCTGCTGCTGTCTGTCGTGAGCAGATTGCCGGCTTTGTGTGGGGCTACATGGTGGAGGAGTTTGGGCAGACCGTCTACGTGGTGCTTGCCGGCTTCTTCCTCTCGTGCGTGGTGAGTGTCCACTGTGGTATGTTCACTGTGGTATGTTCACCGAGTGGCCACTGGTGTGGTACTGTGGTGAGTTTCCACTGTGATTTAGTGTCCACTGGTGAAGTACTATGGTGTGCACGGTGGTGAGTAAACACTGATGAATGTCCACTCTGGTGAGTGTCCACTGCGGTTCGTAGTATGTGGGCTGTGTGTGTACTCTGTAGTGTGTGCTCAACATGTGACGTTGTGCTGTTTGTGCTGATTTACCTATGTGCGTGCTTCGTGCATTGTGATGCATACATACAGTATCTGTACTGTGTATGTGGTGTATGTACTGTATTATGCAGGTACTTTGTGTGGTGTATGCTGTTTAAATTAAGTCTTAGTGCCTGAAGAAAATGTGCTCTGGGTGTATACTGTCTGTATGCCATCTTGTCACCTTTGTACGTGTGTAGTGTAGCACAAGTCGGAGACGAGGTAGTTGCAGGAGGCACCTTTTATTGTAACACCTTCCGGCCGTTCACACACAGGATCGCCTCCTTCTCGCTCCCGTTGCCGTACAGCCCAGCCTAGACACAACCCTAACCGCGTTGCACCGACGGCGTCGACCGAGACGGCCAACAACTGTCCGGCCGCACAATTGTCGAGTGAAGGCGCCGGCGACGAAGGCAGCAAAGACGATGGCGAGACGAGTCCACTCCCAGAACCGGCAGCCCGGAGCTCTCGCTCTCCGCTGCTTTTATTCTACTCTGCGCGGCCTGGCTCCGCCCTGGCCGCGCCTCCCTTCTCGAACCCACTAGCGGGTTCCAGGG